GTTAATGCAAGCTAAATTATTATTTTGCTTAAATTTACAACCTTCTAAGCTGAAAACATGTTCTCTTAGGATCTCTTTATTAGACTGTAAGAAGTCTGTAATTTCAAACACCAGGGCAAACAAAGCAAAGTAATTCATACATCTTTTTAATCCCAGTCAAAGTTTATAAAGCTTCCAGAGAAAAGGGCCAATAAAATTTATACCCCACAGATATATGAGGTACAAATATATATCATAAAGAATACATACAAACACACAGTTTCATTTTTTTTTTAAACAACTACTTAAAGTAGTCCCAAAACAGGAAACAAGACAGAAGTACACTCCTGAGTCACATGAAAATAAAATCAGATCTTCATGTGAAAAGCAACCTCATAAAATGCACCTCTAATTAGTGTTGCATTTAATAGCACCCTGGATAATAACAGTAACAAAGAATGCTTAAGAAAGTTCTTTCAGAACGTGATCCTCACGGCTGGCTTTGTATTTCCTTACTGTAACCTTAATTTTTCCCCCCCCTTTTGTTGGCTAGAACAAGAACTCTGCCTCCAGGGTGTTTCAGAAAATACGTTTATTCCAGTGATGCAACGTTCACAGCTTTGGTACTGCTGAAGAGCATCACAAAGCGTTTTCACAAGTCTTCAACAACCCATGTCCAGAAAAATCAAACAGCCCAAGTCATTGAGTTTTACACTTCACTTCAGGACTTGTGCCCTCCCTTTGAACATGTACTTCAGATCTGATGGCTGCTATTTTTATTCTCCGTCACTTATAATCCTTCGGATGCAACAATTCAGCAATTCTGGGAAAAATACAGTTTATTAATTTCAATCCCATTATTAAAAAACACTGTAATTTTAACAAACTGGTCACTTTTGCAAAAGGTCTACATTTTTCCAGTATGTAAATGGCTTTAGAGGTGTGAAGGAAATGTCTTTAATATACAGTGCTGATACGCAGCAGAAACCTGAGTTCAAAAACTTGCTTCTTTAAAGGAAGCAACAGCTGCCACACAGACATAAGTGAGATTTGAGGCGGGAGTGTATATGGGGAGGGGGGACATCAAGCACAGCACCAAAAGTCTGCCTCTCGTGTGTGTCATCAATTTACTGAAATGGTTTTAACAGAAATATTACACAAATGCTGCTCTCCCCCCTCCTTTTTTTTTTTTTAAGCACTTTCATTTTAAATCAGATTCCAGTTCTCCTGCACTAAAGATTAATAAACAGGGGAACAAAAATCCTGAAATATCTGACAATAACATTAAAGAAAATTATACAGACTAAAAAGTTTGGCCATATACAACACAATTTTCCTTTATGAGGATCTAAAAGGTTAATGATGTCAAGTCCAGTAAAACATAGGAAGCACTGCCAATGCTTTTAAGATTGAATTTACTTACCTTGGCCCTCTGAGGGCAGTGTTACCTAACACAAGATTAGAAGCATCAGTAGACTATTTAGCTAAATTGGTAGACACAAGTGCTTTACATTCACTAATTTG